TCTAAACTGTCATACACCCGACATCCAAATGCGGCATTTTAGCATGATGAATGTGGTCGAATTTGTTCATGTTAAAATCCCTTACGCCGGGAAATTTAAACCAAGACAATATCCCATAGATATTTCGGGAATGCCATTGTTCTGTATGGCTGTGTGGGCTATATCTGGCATCAAGAAGCACGTTTCACAAAGCCTAGGATGAACGCAGTGATATTCTACGCAGGCTACTTACAACAGGAACACACTGTACAGACGTAGTGTACTACTTATAAGGTTGTCGAAGACTCTTCGACAGCCCACGATCGGTTGCATCCTTCTTGGGGCACACCAGGTAGACGCAAGCCTGAGTTTCCGTCTTCAAACTTACGTTCCACTTGGACCCAGAGTTTAACTTATGCACTCAACTGCATGCAATTTGGTTTTGACGGGAGCCTGTTACCGTATCAGACTGACTTCTCGTATCCTCGACTATCAACTCGCCGTGGCAACTAAGCTCACGTTGTATATTTTATCAAGGAGATTTTTATTAAATTCCTCGAAATAATGAATTATGGTCTTGTTTTTCCCCGAGAAGGCTCAGTGGTTAGAACAGGAATTCACAGACCGGAAGGTCCGTGGTTCGAACCCGATTTCTGCCTCTCGACTTCCGCTGTCTAGGCTTGGGCAACCTGGCAGTATCCCAGCCCTCGTGCTCCCTTCGGGTGTGGCATGGCAGTTAGACGCCGAATGGCTGCCATATCTGAACGATTTGATTTTTTAAGATTTTTTCGCCAATCTGTTTCGAAAATGTCATCACTACTCAAGGCGTGTTGTGAGGCAAATCCTTGCGAAAGTCTGCCTATTTCATTAGAAGACCCAGTAGCGTCTTGTGGTGGTAACTTTGTGAATGTATTCATCACCAAGGTGTTGGATTCGCCTGATCAGAAAACCAAATGATCGCGAAATCTAGGTAGATGTCAGCGGACCATGTGAAACCAGAATTGTTTGATGCAACGGTTTTCGCCAAAATGTGAGGTAGTAATCACTTGAATAATTCCACTTTCTATTGTTTTTAAGATAAATGACTAACTAGTAAAACACGTAATGAATTAAGCAGACATCCTCGTTCGGTTCGGAAGCATAGAGACGGGCTTTCAACATGGCTGCACGCAACACAGCAATGTCGCGTATACAGAAACGTTGTACATTAGACCGCAACGATGTATTGTCCAGTTTCTCAAGACTATTGTACACGTCTTTTCCAGGTTTGTTTAAACAGCGAAGGATATATTATCCGCATATAAGGGGTGGGTGGGTAGGTTGGCATATTTACGAATCTGTTTATACCTGTTGTCATGACAGCGCGTGAGAACCGTGATTTACAATGTGTGCACTTTCGACGGTAAAGTTTTCCGTAGCTGAGCAGCTTTAAGAATGCGCCATGCTTAACCTTGATGCCACAACTAGTTTACAGTACCATGTAAATGAACTTGTTATTTGACACTAATAGCTTTGCCTACATAAGACGGAATTTAGTGGAGGTGTGGGAGTGAACCGGGGCTTAGACTAGCAAACAGGTAGAAGTTTCGTACCTTACCTATGAATGATTAGAAGAGGACAGACTAGTCACTGAGAGGCTAGGAGAACTAACACGATTTGGGTATGGTGACACGCGACACAGATGAGTTTACAACTGTTGTCTTTCATCGCCATCATCCTCATGAACAGGAACGTCGCCGGATACCGATGTAACTCGCCAATCAACCCTTCACCAAGAGTCATCAGCTATTCGCTCTTTCCATCCCTCGGTTTGGGGAGTCGTACCAGAGGTTCGATGGGGCCTTCAGGTAGCAAAAAGCAAATGAGAATTTGCACCTGAGGCTTGACGAAAAGTATGCCCGCATCCACGCTACCCCCTTCATGGGCAATTATTTTCTGGTATGTACACGCACCGTTGACGGGAATTACTAAACTCGAATCTCACTCACATCAAAGTTTACCTAAACTTCTGACACGTTAGATGGGCGTGTTAGCACTACTCCACCGGAGCACGCTGGACATAGCTGAGTTTTCACGACTGAACATTCTTGGGCGATATGAATGATTTACCCGATGCTTCGAACGACCGCCCAACCCTGGTTGGGTCAATCGATTGGCCCACCTGTCAGGACTTCCCAGTCAGGACGCTTTGAAGCTTGCTAGACAATTTCTCACTCGTTGTAGTTTGTCCCCAAATATGGACAATTTACGTTCACTGCAGTAGTTTGAACAGTTCTCCTTTAGTCCTGATGCCATCATTCTGTTGAGTCCACACCAAGGGGGCTAAGCGCTAAACTCCAGTTTCCGTCTTATAAGTCTTCATCAGCAGTGCATATTCTTGGTCAGGCCGGCGTTTGAACCGAGGACAACTAACATGAGAAGCAGGCGCGTTACCACTACTTCCCAGGCACCTGAGCGGGTAAACGTGTTTACGCCCAAGAGATGTGATCGGTTTGCCCAACGCCTCAGATGATGAGCAAGCAACTAACTGTATTAATGGTCATATTTAACCGCACTGTTAGCAATGTTGTGGAATGTAGGTAACTCGGGTGCGCTGTTTGGTTGTTGGTCTGTTCGCCGAGCTTGGCAGTTGGATTGCAAACGTTTCATCACCAATCGATGTGACATCGTCAGTGCAGGGTTGAGTGGGTCTGTGTGTTGACTGGCTGGTTTGGAGGCGTTGACCGTAAGCTGCGGTCGATATTGTGTGGCATAGATGATACCCAAATCACCATGAGGAAGCGGAGGTTCACCGGTGTTTGAAGCAAACTTGGAGAGGCAGGAGAGTAATGCTATGTTCTCGATGTGCAACATCAAGAATCTTCAACGTTATCTGATGGCAGAGTAACTCTTCATCAATGTGATTTTGGAGCAGGGAGAGACCGTGAAAATGCACCTGTTGGAGTTCGTACAAGGTGTTGACTGGTTGGTTTGGAGGCGTTGACCATAAGCTGCAGCCGATATTGTGCGGCATAGATGAAACCCAAATCACCATGGAGAAGCGGAGGTTCACAGGTGTTTGAAGCAAACTTGGAGAGGCAGGAGAGTAATGCTATGTTCTCGATGTGCAACATCAAGAATCTTCAACGTTATCTGATGGCAGAGTAACTCTTCATCAATGTGATTTTGGAGCAGGGAGAGACCGTGAAAATGCACCTGTTGGAGTTCGTACAAGGATTCTGATGCTGGAAGTTTTGATGAGTTCACGAGCACATGTAGTATATGAACCCGCCTTCTTTGATCAAAACCGAATTCGCATCTGTTGCTGCAACCATTCCTTTGAATTAATCAGTCAACCAATCAATTGATCAGCTGTCAACCATGTACCATGGGCACATCGGTTCCAGGTGCTGCAGTTTCGATCATTGGAAAGTGGATGCGGACAGTAATGCCATGTTCAGTTAATTCAGGAATTAGTCACCAACACATTGACGGTAACAGCTTTGATGCACTAGCGTCACTGACTGAGCGATTGGGTCATTTCTTCCATTTCTGGTAGATTGAGTTATGGGGTTTACGAACATAGAGGCAACAGTTATCGACCCGACAGTCCAAAGGCTCAGTTATGTTCAGAGTATGGTTTAAAAAGTTCTTCCCTCTTTCTACGGGGTACTCATACCTCAGTTGTGACTGTGTGATCCTAGAACTCTCAGGCGATTGAACAGAGTGCTTGCCGATCAGGTTGACAAGGTTCTACTTTTCTACTTTTTCCGTGCTATTATTAGTACGCGAAAGGTTTGTGACCTTGTCATGTTGTTAACTTATGTCAGGAGTCATAGATCGCTATCATTATGAGTCACTAGTCACTATCGTCATCAGACCGCTTGGTTGGCATTTTAAATGACTTCATACCTATTGAGCGAGTCTCCTTTGACAGATGTACTCAGAGTACCTGTTACCGAAAGGGAAAAATGTGGAACTTCCTAATGTGTTGCCTAACGTAAAACCATTTTTTCTGAACAACAGAAGAGTACCTTCATACTCATGTGATAAAATGTGATCTTTCCGGAATATATTTGCTCCGGGTAGCACAGGTTAGTTCTGTCTATCTAGCTTTTTGGCGATACTTTATCTCTATCTATCTATCTATCTATCTTCTATCTATCTATCTATCTATCTATCTATCTATCTATCTATCTATCTATCTATCTATCTATCTATCTATCTATCTATCTAATCTATCATCTATCTATCTATCTACCCATCCATCTAACTATCTATCTATCTATCTATCTATCTACCCATCCATCTAACTATCTATCTATCTATCTATCTATCTACCCATCCATCTAACTATCTATCTATCTATCTATCTATCTACCCATCCATCTAACTATCTATCTATCTATCTATCTATCTACCCATCCATCTAACTATCTATCTATCTATCTATCTATCTACCCATCCATCTAACTATCTATCTATCTATCTATCTATCTACCCATCCATCTAACTATCTATCTATCTATCTATCTATCTACCCATCCATCTAACTATCTATCTATCTATCTATCTATCTACCCATCCATCTAACTATCTATCTATCTATCTATCTATCTACCCATCCATCTAACTATCTATCTATCTATCTATCTATCTACCCATCCATCTAACTATCTATCTATCTATCTATCTATCTACCCATCCATCTAACTATCTATCTATCTATCTATCTATCTACCCATCCATCTAACTATCTATCTATCTATCTATCTATCTACCCATCCATCTAACTATCTATCTCATTTCTGGTTTTTCCATTCGCACAGGATCGATTGAGCAAAGTTGAATCACAGCTCGCGATATTAAATTCTCTGCCGGACAATAGACAGCTTCTTGGTGATCTGTACAGCGGATCTGATTCGAAGTCAACCAAACAAGATACAGCGGACAGTCAAAGGCGCGTGGCAGAACTGTGGCAAACGGTGAATATCAATCGTCGCGTGGACGCCACAGAGGAGGGTATCTCAAGAGTAAGCCACACAAATATAGACTAATCACCTTGACTGATTTATTTCACGTGGTTTTTGACAGAAACAAATCTACTTCTTGCTCATATAGGACAAAGTACAGGTTATAAATATCTGCCTTTATTAAAAGTGATCATTAGTCAGTCCAGAGTAGAATGAGATCATACTAGTTGGTCTAATCTAATGAAATACCTCCTCAGACAAGACCGTCATGTTCAGCGTAGCTGTGAACGACTATTCTGATTGAACAGGTAATTTTGAAATAAGAAGGGTATAGTGTTTGAGAACTCCATACTTAGAATGAGGGTGCTTTAACGGGAACATTGATACTTCTCGAATCTAAAGCATAACTGGGACTGACGCGATGAAAGTGTCCTCTACCTTAAAAAACTTGTCTCGACCAGAAGAAAACGCATACACTGGGGTTCTTTTTAGACCATAGTGCGTCCATCGTCAACCAGAACTCGAGTTTGACTTTATGGTTAACAGAATGGCAAGTTTGATCTCAGCTACGTATTGATGACGAAATTTACCGTAGTCGAGTGAACAATCCGACAAACGAGAGATTTAGCTGGGTTCCAGGTGAGTTTCCAGTCAAAACCAAATTGGTATGTATGCAAATGAGTGTATTTCGCTAATTTTATGGGCTCAAGTGGAACATAAAGTTGACAGACACTCGGGGACCGCGCTCACCTGATAAGCCCCTAGAAGGGCGAAACCGGTCGTGGGCTTTCGAAGAGTTTTCAGCAACCTCGTTAGTAGTGAATTGCGCCTACACAAATTGGTGCCCAGTTTCGTGCACTTTGGTCCTGCTCGAGTAAACGTCAATATGTGAGGCGTTTTGGCGGAATCACCATCTTGCGAGGTTTGTCGGACTAGCAGTTACTACCAGCAAGAGAAAGTCATTCACCCGGGCACCTGAGGACAACGTGTTAAGTACTCATTTGCTATAATGTTAGTAAAGTGAACTGGAACATGTGGTGGAAAACATTTGAAGGAAGCTGTCCAACGTCGTTCTGGCAACGTTTCTGTTGAAACTGGACCAACATCTCACTACCCTATCGATCAAATGAATGTCTGGTGATCCGCCACGTCAGACAGGTGATACTAATGCATACATAAGTACACCTGGTCAGCAGGTCACTGCAAACTAAAATGTCGTCCAGCTACGGTACGCAAGCTCTATCCGGTCTAAAGAAAGCGCCAGATTGCTCTTTCTAAGAAAGAAGTATCCGAATCACAGACTTTCCGATCAGTAGCTTTGCGGCCGAGCTATCAGCTACACTGATCGGACAAAGCATTCCATCATTCAACAACCGTCTGATCAAAAGGCAAGCAATCTGAAAAGCCAATTTACACTTGGTAGATTTATTGCTGGGCCACGTTTCGCTTTTGACACAAAAGCTTCGTCAGGCCAAGTGACTAGGCTCCGAGGTGGGTCGAGATTTAAGGCGGAAGGAGAACCAACCAGCTAAGTCACCAAACGTTTCTGAAAACCAATTTACACTTGTTTTCGGAACATCATTCTGGCGTATTCAAATGGTTTGCCTGAATGGTTTACCGTGGATCGCGGATCGGTTCTCTACTCGTCGGTTTCAGCTCTTGCTTCAGGGCTCGGATAGTCCAGCTTCTGCCCTGGTAACTTTGCTACACTGGTCACACTGCAAGCACATAGATGGATGCCAGTTCAATCCCCTTTTACGCCTATACCAGGCGTACACGGAAAAGGAAATGTGGGCTATTTTTCACTAGTTGAATCAGAAAAAATCAAATATCTACAAGATATTCAAAACCGATGGACTACTCACGTGAATCTCTATAAGTCTGAAATGAATGAAAGGAAGACAGTGGATAGATAAACTAACAATGACAAAAACTGCCATGAAGGTAAACTAAGAACCGTGTATATGGGCAGTGAACAGTACATCTTATGATATGCCGGTAGTAAACATGAATTATTTATGCTTTTCTGGACACCTGATGCTTTCTTTGAAGGTATAGGCCGCTTGTAAGCCGCTCATTGCCTTTCCTGTAGACACACGTGGTCCTCTTGTGTGTCGCAGATCGATTGGTTTACCTGTAACTATGGCGACAGATCGCAATCTCCTTCAGATGCCGTCAAACCTGTGGAAAGTTGATCTCGGGCAAGGTTCCCTCAGCTGAGGTGTTTTATCACCGTTAAAAAACGTGGTCTGACTGCGTTATAAACTTAAAAGTGGAAACTGACGTATTAGGTTCCTTAGCAATGCATATATCTGGTCGGTTGAAACACCGACAGACTACAAAACATAACAATCACGTGAAAAAAATTTGAGAATCACCTTCGCAACGGCGCAGATATTCTGCACGTAAAAACTCCCGTTCGTTAGATATTCCCTATAAAGACTTACAAATATATATCAGAATACCAAAGAATGATCACTTCCTATTAAACGAACAAAGATCGTGTTCATGGGATTGAAGAAAAAAGAATATGCTATATCTGCTATATATGCTACATATGCTAAAAATATACTACTAATAAGCATAAAGAAACTTGTCCAAAAATTCCAGAGCAGTTCCCTCTTTCCATACTTGAAAACTGAACTGGAAGCATTTGTGAAACAGTTTTTTAACAAGCCTAACAAGTAGTGTTTTTTCAGGAACGATTCATCTGATATCCTCCAGATATGGTGGCCTTACTGCAGCATTTTCGGTCGGAGAATACGGAAACCGATCGATTTAACGCCACTTTGATTCGCAACTGAATGTCAAATGGAATTAAATTAGATTACCGATTGGCGATTTGACGAAGGAAGAAGGTTTGTTCTGAAGAATTTCCGCCGTGCATAGAGACCGCCGAGAAGGACAAGACTGATAGTCGCCTGACAAAGTAATTTCAACAACCTTATGAGTAGTATCTTTCCCAAGACAAGGAAAAGGAACCGAAAGACTGCTATTATATAAACGTCGGCAGTCGGTAAGTAAGGTGTCTTCCGAGGAAGGCTGAAAAATCAATGTTTGAATGTCAGTTCTAAGCGTCGTTGCGACAATGGATCACACCCTTATGAACCAGGGATAGATCTCCCAAGATTCTGACTAAATTGAACCTAGAAGCTCTTACCTTCATATGGACGTAATACACTATTCATACGTTTTCTGGAACCTCTTCAGCAGCCCAAGACCAGTTTCACCTTTCTCTGGGTGATGAGAACTCCGACAGTCCTTCTTGAGGCTCCTCCGGTAGACGAACTGTTGCAGCACATTCAGTTAACTGAGACCATTAAGTAGGGAAGATTTAGCTGGAATTCAGGTGATTCTTCCATGAAAACAGTTGAGTGTAATTCGCTGATTTCATGCAATTTAGGTTCAAACAGGACATAAGTGTGACCGAACCGTACTGCAACAAGTGAGAGCCTGCGGGTTACAACGGCCGTTGACATTGATCCAGGCTTTCTGATCGGCGTTCAGTGAACACCCATCAACATCGGCCGCGCTTCTATGACACCCCCGAACACTTATCATAGTCCGTTGGGAAGCCCAACTGTGGAGTGTCTGAACACTCATCAGCTTTGCTGAATTGATCGATTGACTGGCCTGGATGCGTGCAGTTTGGGACTGCAAGACTGAGAGACTGAGACTGGTGCCTCACCTTGTGGTGCGTGAAAACATCGTAAACAAGAGATTTAGCTGTATTTTAGGTGGATCTGCCGTCAAAATCAAATAGGTATGCAGATGGGTGTGTAAGTCCTATGTTCAATGTTACCTATCCTGGTACTCACTGTGTGAGTGTGGAGGCTAGCGATCGCGTTGCTTGGTCAATGCAACGGAGCTGGTCATAGAATTTCAGCGGCTCAGTGGTATATGTAATTTTTTTTCAAAATCCTAGTTGACGATTTGGAAAGTACAAAGGCTATAAGACTTAGATGTAGAAATGACAAATCTGAAGCCAGAATATGGCCAATTCGAATAGTTTTCAGCTTGGAACCGTTCAGGTGGACGTAGTGGAACTGGTCGCGTATCTTTTTAACCGATTCCTATGCAGATCAGTGCAGCACAACCGGGCCACGAGCCACAAATCTTACTTCCATAAGGTAGTTAGTTCATCAAGCTCATCAAACTGCTGAAAGAAAACCATTGTATACGAAGGCGGCAACGTGTTTTCTCCTCACTTTGGCTGCTACACGTGTTCCATAATTGTCCGTGGACTTGGGGTGTTTGGCTGACTCCTTGCTCCCTGTCCGTGGGCGAGTCTGTGTGTGTTGCCTGTGTCGTCTCTTTCTATAGATAGGAAAGTTTGACGTGTGTATAAAACATGATTTGTTCCGATGCGCACAAGACAGAAACGGACTGGTTGTCGGTCAAGTTTGCGGGCGGGACGGCGTTTGTCACGTGATTTGTGTGCTTGTGTAGTAGGCAAGTCGCTAGATCTAGTAAACAAATAAGGTGAAGTTGGTTGATGGGACATGGAAACGTCCGCTACACTTCCATGACGACGCTTGAGGAGACTCGAACCCACAACCTTCCAGACGGTTGCCGAACGTTTCAACATCCCTAGTCTAGCATTAGGGAGAAACCTGACGTTGGACAAGATGAAATCCCACTCTCCGTCACTCAAGTTGTACACATCATAAGAGTTGGTGTTTATTGACACTCGAGCAACGGCTTCTCAAATAGGACTCCTTGAGTCGAATCATCAGGACACCATATTTGATCCCAGAGCCCAAACACAAACTTTACAGACCACAACTTCCACGCTATCTCTGAATTTCCAGGTGTAAACGGGAGATCTTAGCGAACTTTCCTTTAGTTCCGCATCAAAACCCACTTACTAATGTCAACATTTGCTTCAACTGCTGAGTTCCAAACGGACCGAGGGATTTCTAGTATTCTAGTTCGGAGGACAATGTGTACTTTATCATTTTACGCGGCACTCCATCTATGACAAAAGTGAGCAAATTTGGAGTGTTCCACCAGAAACTGTAGGTTTTCGTAGTTGTACGAGAATCTACGCAGCTGACTTCAGTGGAAGGGGCTGTTGACGCACGATAATCTACCTTTGTTGGTATGACCAGATGGACACTTGAAATGTCCAGATTTATGAATGATTACACCTGTGCTTGCTAAATCAAAAACAAATCTATCACAGAATCATCCCTGACGCCAGCTGTGCCAAATTGATAGGTAGTGCTCTGGGGAATACGTTACTTACCAAGTTTTAGGATATTGAGCAAAAGTTTGAGCAGATACGACAAACACCACAGATATCTCTTAGGTATTTCGATCGTTGATTCTGAAAGCAGGAAGAACGCCTTTTATGAAGAAAACTACTCACAAGGTTGCTGAAAACCCGTCGACAACCCACGACCGGTTTCGCCCTTCCGCTTTAGGCTCATCAGGTAGACACAGTCCCCGAGTTTCCATCAATCTTATGTTCTACTGGAACCCAAATTGGACTGGTTTCGATAAATACACTCATTTGCAAATCAATTTGGTTTTCAGGAGAGACTCACCTGAATCTCTCGTTTATGATATTCTACAACTGAATGTGCTGCACACAGGCCGCCTCATGTTTCGGTGGGTTGTCGAAGAGTTTCCAGCAACCTTGATAGTAGTTTCCTTCATGAAG